CCCCCCCCCCCCCCCCCGGTCTATCTCTCTCTCTCTCTCTCTCTTGCACTAGGTAGGGTAAGCAGGTGACGAAGAAGCAAAGATTATTGGAATGCGCAACACGAGAAACAACCAAAGCATCACCCGACGACCTACAACCAACCCCGGCAACGACAACGACATTTCCGAACGTTTCCCGTGGAAGGCAGGCGCCGCTCCGCATCCCCAGTCCCCGCCCGGCACCTATGTGGCCTTGGGTCCTATCATGTTCTCCGGCCGTACCCACTCGTCGAATTCCTCTTCCGTAAGGAGCTCCAGCGCTAACGCGGCTTCTTTGAGAGTGGTGCCTTCCTTGTGAGCCTTCTTGGCAACCTTTCAATGATGGCGTCGGCGTAACGAAGGCCCAAAGGAAAGCGGAGTTGGTTCATGTCACCAACAGTAGGAGGAAGTCGTTGGATTCATTGGCCAAGGACAAGTGGCAACTGTTTAGTTGGATAAGCCTGCCATCCATCTTGTAGCTCTCAAGGGAAAGCTTTGGGACAGGTGCAGGTGGAGGAGCCCTACGCATCGTTACAGAGGCACGTGGGCAACCGCATTTCGCACAGACGGGCTCTTCAGCAATGTGCGTTGCAGCCCCAGACCGCAACACGAACAAACTGAAGCCGTTAAGAAATGGTATTTTGTCTTGAACTGCGTCGGCAGCCCCGGCATGAGAAGGACGCTACGACGTTTTGCCTCGGGGTCACGTCCCCAGACGGAAGCTCGAATGCTGAGGTAGGCAGCAAGCACGGTGTGCATTCACTGCGCGGTCGAAATAGCCCTAAAACTACCATAATAAATTCGCCCGAGGGTCATGTGTGTGTGTGTGTGCGCGCGCGCCGTGTGACTTCGCCCTCAAACATCTGTAACGAACACCATGAATTGCGAAACGCACCACAAGTACAGGCGTTGGAGAACTGACAGCCGGCACATAGCGGTGGCAGCCAACAGCGACCAAGGGCCGGGGGTAGGGGGAACTACGAAACTGGTGAAAACGCTTGTGTAACGAGCGACATTTGGCGTAGCATGGAGCACGACGGGCTTAGAAGGATTCTTAACGCGGACAACAAGTTCTCACGCAAGGTATGAGTGAAGCAGGCATGTACTGGCGGGCGACAAACGATAGTGGCAACTGGAACATCATGCATCCGCCCTGCAGTCGTTGGTGAGAGAGACAAAATCCATGTGCCCGGCATAAAACGGTGACAATGACTTGACTCTTGGGGCGGTTCGCGCACCTTGGAGGCGTTATCGTAGCCGATCTTGGGGTTCAGCGCCGTCACCAGCATGAGCGACGTCGACATGATCTCCTGGATGCGATCTCTGCAGCCGGCGAACAGACGGCGTCAGGACGCACACATCAAAAGAAAAAAAAGAAAATCTGGAACATGTCAAGACCGACAAAGGGCCGTCCTAACGCAAAAATGAGGTCAACGTTTCAAATTGCGTACAAGTACAAACTGCGCGAACGGCCGGCACATACGGAAGACGACTTAGCAAACGTGTCTTGGTAAATTCCCAAGCCCCGACCCTAGCCCGAAGAGGGAGGGGCATTTACAGAGTTCACAATACTGCCGTGGTCGCCCCGGTGGTCTAGTGGTATCCTCGTAATCCGCTAGTTGCAGGGGTCGTGAGTTCGAATCCCCATGGGGTGAAAATTTACGAAATGTGCGGGTGGAAGCGAACAATAGCTGACAAGTTCTCGTGCGTACCAAACTTCGGCGTTAGCAACGTTGACGAGGGAAAGGGACGGCTGAACCCTTCTCGCGATAAAAATAAAAATTCAGCACGTACCGCAGGAGGAAGGTGGGGCATGAAATACATAAAAAGAAGAAAAAAGCCTTGGCCCCCTCCTGTGTGACCCTGGATGGTTGTAGCTGTACGAAAAAATACACTGAAAAGTGTAGTACTCTACATACGCTGAAAAGTGTAGTACACGTCTCACCACGAAAAATGGGGGACTGTTGCCATAATAGATAGGACAAACACACACACATAGCACTATGAGTAAACGAATTCGGATTATAGTCGTCACCCACCGGTTCGCAACAGTACCCGACACGCAGCGTTCCGCAAACGAAGAGCAGCTGTCTCCCAGCAGTCGCATGGATGAGAGAAGGTTGGCCACCTGGTGGAATTATCGCACAGCAAGGCGAGCGATGTGTGACGGAGGGGAACGAATTTGTCCAGCAGCAACACAGACGGCACTCAACGCCGGTGTTCGAACAGGAATCGACTTTTGCACTTGCTGTTCATTCGGAAATCATTGTGCCGTTAGAAACGGGCCGCAGTGAGCACCATCAATTGAGTAGGACCAGCGTAGGATATCTTACAGGTCTCACAACCAATACAGAACCGTGACTGATGACAACAAGTCGCCAAAATAACAATGCCGCAGAACAGCGGCAACGTGGACGGCGGGGGTGCCGGAGACGACCATGGCAGCAACTGCCAAAACAGATGCAGATACCCAAGGGTTCGCCGCTACGGTCCGCATGAAGAGGCGATCTGCCAGTCTTCGGGGAAATACGTTACGAAAAGCAACCTACCCATCCATGCGCTCCGCGCCAACCCTGCAATCTCACCATGACCGGCTTGAAAACGTTGAGCTCGAAGTGCCCGTTCGAGCCTCCGACGGTAACCGCCACGTGGTTTCCCATTACCTGTCGAGTGAGACATGGTCGTTCAAGAAGATTAAGAACAGAGAGCTGAAAAGAGGTGGGCCATATACACGGCGAGACATATGAGCAAGGACTGCAACACCATCCGGTCTGAAAATCGTCACGCCGTTCCAAGATGTCTTTTGAAAATCTCATTGGGTTTACGAAATTACTTCTCACCTGCGCACAGACCATGGTCAACGCCTCGCACTGCGTGGGGTTCACCTTACCAGGCATGATCGATGAGCCTGCAATCACAAGAAAAAGAAAGAAGCAGGGTGGGGGAGATGCCACGAGTACTTGAATGCTGGGTAGGACCATGAACAGGACACAGGCCAACGAAGAGGATGATGTAGATTCCCTTAGCAGCTAGGCTTTCCCCGAATCATACCCGAAGGTTCACGGTATGCATACAGCCTGACAAACGGCACGAGAAAACGCCTCCTTGTTTCTGCAGTAAACAAACGCAACCGAGTTATCACGTTGGAGTACGGGGCCAGCGAGAGCAACACAGCTTTGACCACAACACCAAAATGGTTCCGGCTACACCAGCGATGGCGTGACATCGGCACTGTCATAGGAGTGAATTCCGTCACCGGGGCACATGTGACATGCACACTGAATCTAGCTTTCTTCAGCGCAACCGACCAGACCCACCTGGCTCGTTCTCCGGAAGGCTGAGCTCCCCCAGGCCGCACCGTGGCCCGGAACCCAAAAAGCGGATGTCGTTCGCGATCTGCGGTGTCACGCGAAGGGAGGAAAAAGATTGCACGCCGCCTTAGGAACGAAGCTTTGCTCGAGACACAATGCAAGCAAATGCCGCCTGCACAGCCCCGAGAGAACATTTTCGCCAAAAAAAGTGTGCGGGGAGTGACTACCTTCCTTTTCGCTGGGGAGTTTTTTCGGAGTGATATAAAAACACGATGAGACACTTGCCACACCGCATCATCACGCCGTCAAGCTCTTCGTCCTCGAACCTCAAACCGAGTTATTAGGCAACAATTGACCACTCCCTCAACAACTAGTAGGAAGTACCACACCAGCTACAATAGTGGCATGTTATTT